ATAATATTAGTAAGGGCAAAGATCAAGTGTTAGTTAATTCGTTCAATAAGGAAAAATCCAATAAACGATAACCAACATACATAATATTCAGATATTCGCCAAATCGTATCTACACCTCTATTCAAGCCTTGAAAATGACATAGCGTGAGAATTCTGGTCTTCTAGTGACAGACTCGCCGTTTCCGCCTCTAACAATACCGATCATGCCGAAAAAATTACCAGCCGAAAATTTTTTTCGGCTAATTTTTTATAGGTGTCTCAGGAATAATGAAAACAGCTATAAACAACTAGTAAAATTTAAAATAGGAAATCAAATCATGTATGAGTAAAAATAATAATAATAATGACACTAATAATGATAAAAATCTAACTGAAATTAGAGTAGAAAAAGACGAAGACATTACTAACAAGCCCGAAGAAGTTATTTATGTCATAAGTTAGGAGAAGCCCAAGACTGGAAATGGTAAAAGTTGATTAAAATTTTTGATAAATGACATCTAAATCTTTTTGTAATGCGTGTAAGCATCCATTAAGCAGGTTTGCTAACTTAATATTAGTTTAAACAACTGTTTAGAATACATGTGTAGTTCATATTGAGTATTTACATTTACATTTTATATTCTTGTCCATTTATCCGTTTCTTTTAATTAATCATTTAATTAAAATTGCCATACTATTCAAAAGACATTAAATTCAATTAAAGGGCATCATATTATTTAGTCAAAAGGTTGAAATTTACAAATCATGAAGCAATTTGCTCATAAGCTCAATTTCGAACTAAATTTAAGCATACTGAGTTTTATTTTAAATTCGCTGATTGAAAAACTTGTGTTTAACTGGTTCGGGTTCTAAACAGGGACGAACAAAGTTTAGATAAATAGAATGCCATCCCTAATAATAACAATCAAGTAATTGTAGCGAATTTGGTAAAGATACATATATATATATATAATAGTTATACTCGCTAAAAATAATTAATTACCATATAACTATATAGTTAATAAAACTAACAAATTCTGATATATTATAAGTTTAAATAAGAACATTTTATATAATTTATTGTTCTTAATAATAAAAATGAAAACAAAAAAATTTTATAAATGTTCTCTCTGAGAACATTTTGTTTGTACAAAATGTTCTCAAATAAGAGAACATTTTTTTAATTATTAATGTTCTTAAAAAAATTTAAATATTCTCTGAGAACCATGAGAATATCAAATTTTAAACACTGATTGCAACTAATTAATATATCTCGATTGTAAAACGTCGCCTTATCGTAGAGGACTCGTTCCAAGCACTGACGAAACTCAGGTATCTCCTAAATGGAGGTACTGATCTCTTTTCCATATCATAGCACTGTATTGATAAACAAAACAAACACGTGGTTGTGTTCTACTAAGTATATCTGAATTAGGAAGGTGTAAACAATGCCAATCTTTTGGAGGGGGTGAGCCCAAATGCCCACTTTTTTTAAAAATTTTTGGAGAGAACAGCAAAGCAAGAGAGAGGTAGAAAGACCAAGAGGAAATACCAAAGAAATGTCTATCCAAGCCTGCACAGTACTAAGTCTTTTCGGTGAGTGATAAACTCTGAGCTTGTTAGCAGGTAGTGTATGAGAACTACCTCTAAACTACAAGTGCCATGGCAAAGCAAATTATTATTATATTTTTTATTTACATTTTAAGATAAATTTTTATATACACACTTTGCAATTGTATTTAACATTATTGACTTTTAAAAATTGCTTCTCAAACATTATAAGTATTAAAGAAATACTATTCAATTCTGGAACTAGAACATGAATATAGATAAATTTGATTATAAAGTGTTATATCAAGTTTATTAGAGGGCTTCCAAAAATCAGCTGATTTGGAGATGGGTGGGTCAGCTGGAGTGTCAGGTGTAATTCTGGCTGGAATTATCAAGTTCCGGCCAAAATTAAAAAATTTTTTAGCTCAAATTATAAATTTGATATTAAAATTTAATAATAAATAACTTTTGTTCTACTTGTTTAATTTTGATGATTTAACTACCAAAATGATCCCCATAGAGTGGGAATTCCAACAAGCCCAAAATCATCACAGAATCCAGAGATCAAAATAGATTTGTATATTATTATATATACTATATAGTATACAAATCTAGATCGATCTCAGGATCTAGTAATTGAATTTTTATAATTTTAGGCTTGTTAGGATCCTCTCTTTGAGAGAATCATTTTGGTAGTCAAATCACCTGAATTGGTCCAGTAAATCAAAAGATATATATATATATATGTTTTTTTTTTTTTATTATTTTGGCAAGTCTAGATGTGACTTGGTCCAGCTATCTTTATAGTTGACCTATGCTACTAGTGTCACAGGACCTTCATAATTCCCATACGGGAATCATGTGTATCCACCTGGGATCCATTGCCTATCATTTCTCTGGTTCCCTTATTGGGGCCTAGATCCGACCGCCTACACGACACTCCAGAGAGGTTGAAACACCTTAATATTAGACTGAGATTTTACTAGCCAATCTGGTGGCACCACGAGTTTTTGTAGTATCTTCTTAGACTTTGGCCTCACAGTATGTCTTATAACTTCGGTTATTCCAAATCGGGGTTCTAACACGCCTTGCTTCACAGCCACAACTTCTCGGAATAACTGTTCCCCGAATAAGTCTATCCGTAGATGTCCCGAGTTCCCTGTACCCCACGGTATTTCACTTCTATATTTGGAGTTTCATTATTTCGCCGCTGGGAGGAATTGAACCGTCAACCGTCCGATTTGCAACCTGGGAGCATAACCGTTATACTATTGACCTGCAGGTCCTATCAAAAGATATTTATTATTAAATATTTAATATTTAATAGTAAATAATTTTTGATTTACTGAACCAATTCAGATGATTTGACTATCAAAATGATTTTTTTAAAGAGAGGATTCTAACAAGCCTAAAATCATAAAAATCCAATTACTAGATCCTAAGATCGATCTAGATTTGTATACTATTATACTGTATATAATACAGTCAGACCTCCTAAATGCACTCTCTCTAAATACAGCACCTCTTTAAATACATGATATAAGCCCGGGCCTATGGTGAAACTTATAGATAAATGCATATTCTTTATTCTGTAAGTGCACGCCAATTGTCTGGCCCACTTATAAAAACTCCCTCTATAAGTGTATTTACGTGATTATTAGCCAATCAAATTCATTATTTCTAGGCTACTAAAGCCATATTTATCACATAATTATAATGCGTTGTAATTTTAATAGTGTTCTCTAATTGCAACCCTCTTTAAATGCATGCTCTAGAGCTGGTCCCGATGACGTGCATTTAGGGAGGTCTGACTGTATATTACTATATAGTATAGTATATATAATAATATACAAATCTATTCTGATCTCTAGATTCTGTAATTGGATTTTGATGATTTTGGGCTTGTTGAAATTCCCACTCTGTGAAGATCATTTTGGTAGTTAAATCATCAAATTTGGACCAGTAGAACAAAAGTTATTTATTATTAAAGTTTATATATACAGTATATTATTATATAAAATTTAAATAAATATGAAATTTGATTGGCTAATAGGGTGTCAGGTGTGGGTGGTGGGTTTGGCCTCAGGAAATCTATTAATAAAAATAAATCAGCTGATTTCTGGAAGCCTCCTGAGTTAAAGTGTGTGAATCAACAGTAATTTCTAATTATTATAGAATTGATTTAGTACTATATTAAAAAAAAAACAAAAAAAGCTTAATAATTATTATTTACGTTTATCTTAAACTGAGAAGTTAGAAAGAGGATGAGGTATAACCACTTCAGGAGGAGGAGGTAAAGTTCCTTTGAATGGTTCTATATTAAAAGGTAGTCTAATCTAGTGTAATAATATAACTACAAAGTATCAATATAAAAATAAAGCTATAAGAAATAATTTTTAAATTATAATAGATAATACTTCACTGTTGGTGAAATGTGTAGTTTGGAGTTTGGTTGTTTGAATTGTTTCAAAGGTTTTGGAGTTTTGAAATTCGGTCATTTGGATTGTTCTAAAACTTTTGAAGTACCAGAGACCGATTTCTTGGATTGTTTTGAAACATTTGGAGGACTATAGATTGATTGCTTAGATTGTTCTGAAACTTTCGGAATGCCAGAGACCATTTGCTTAGATTGTTCCAAAACTTTTGGAGTTTGTAAATTAAATTTTGGTTGACTGGAATTAAGTGAAGTATCAGAAGTTCTTATTTTTTTTTGTATGCTAGTTGCTAAACTACTTATATTAGCTTTAGTATTTTTAATAATATATTTGGAATAAATTAGAATAATTATTTAATATATATATAAAAACATATACTAAAATTCCTTATACCAGAGAGGTGTGGCGACTTAGTGTAGTGGTCTAGTCATCATCCTCTCCAAGTGGCAGGTCTAAAGTTCAAATCCTATAAACAATGAATTTTGAAAAATAGTCTGTGCTACAGTTTATGGTTGTCGATTATCAGTTGGATCTAGAAATCTGTAATCTCGGTCACACTATCTAGTTATGGGAGCTTTGGCGCAATAAATCTGAGGAACTGGAATAACCAAAACCCATTTAGCAAGTTCTGAGTTTGGAAGTAGTAGTGATCTACAATGGTACTACAGGAGGGCTAAATTCAAACCGGGGCCCAAGATCGGAGAACTGAGCGACCAGGTCCTAATGGCAGAGGACATACTAGCCGAACTGCCAGGTTGTCGCACTGGAGGAAAAGGACATACACTTTGAAAGTATAGACCAAGAGAAGAGTGTCCTTCAGACATCTAAAGCCTGAGCAGACCAACTCTTCCGGATTGCTGGCTGGAAGTAAGAGAGGGACCAATAAAGAATCCGGGTAAAAAGACAGTCTAAATGCAAGGTACTGGGTTGCTAGGAACCAAAACAAGGGCAAGGAATATGTAATGGGCATCTAATTAAGAAGGTTGGTGCTTGAGAAATGTCCATAGAATGGCAGCACCCCAAAAGATAGCGTGAGATACGAATATGGAACGGCAAGTCAATATATACTAATTAGGAAAAAGTTATAGGAACAAGCACGTGAATACATGTGTGGGACATGTACTGCTGTGTTAGGTTTATCTCAAGAATAAACTAGGCCTATATGGGTTAGTAAGTCCTAAAGCAGGGTGCGAAAGCCAATATGAGGTAATACCAATATCTACTTAGTTTAGTGAGAAAATCCTCCAGGTAGTTAGAACCAGATGGTTTAAATGGGTACTCCCCTAGTTGGGATGCAAGTACGGCAGATAGTGTAGAACCTTCGGGCAGACTATTTAAATTAAGCACTCAAAAGATATACGTGTGGCTTGATATACTATCATTGTAATTATATATAAAACTCCGTCTATACTTTAATAAAAAGTTTTCTAGACCAATGAAGGTCACCTTAATACCAAAAAAAAAAAAAAAAAAAAAACTAAAATTTTTTATTCCATTTTGTTCAGATTTCTAAATAAAGTTAATAAATATAGTTTAATATATTTGTATTAATAAATAATATATAAAATATTTTGTTGCTTCTTATTTTTCTTAATGATCAATTTCTTAATATTATTTAGTGTTCATAATTTAACTACCTTGCTGAAAATTTAATCTTCTAGTTAATCAACACTATATATATAGTGTGTAGATGAATGGAAAGATATGACAAAAAAAATGAGAGGCAACATTAATTATGATACCAACTTTTTCTTGATTTCGTCTTTTAGGTTGTTGTAATATATTAAGATTAGATGTGTTGTTATCTGAAGTCTTGGTTTTGTTTTTGTCTATGGCTAAGAAAATATAGAATGTGATAAAAGCATGTAGAAGAAAAAAAATCTTTTTATTTATTAAATAACAATATGTCATATAATAGTGACGAATTTATTAAATAATAACCAAATACTGATAATCTTGAAGTAATAATGAATGACAAATTACTAATGAGTAGTAACAAGTAACATTATGACATTGCTTAATTAAATTCAAACATGACATATAAAATATCTATATATGGGCTTGGTGCTACAGAAAAGGGGGAAATCGACAAAACAATAGATCTTCGGAAGATCAATTTTTATGTTATAAATTTTATAATAAATCATAAGAAAATACAAACTTTAAAGAGCTATACTACAAAATTTTATTAATACAACTTCTTTCATGTTTTAAGTGAAAAATGATTCTAACATTATTCTAAATTGAGTTGTGTAAAAAAAAAAATTTGAAAATTTGTCGATTTTCCCCTTTTCTGTAGCACCAAGCCCATATATATAAATGTATTGTACTATTAATATAAATTGAGGATAAAATATATACATAACTAACCTACAATTTAAATAATTTTATATTTAATTATGGCTCATACTTTGGTTCATTATTATTCATATTTCTAATTAATACAATGTTTCACTCTTGACTTATAGTTATTTTATGAGATATGTATGATACCTTTTACCATCATTTCACTGTTTGAAAGATACGTTTTTGCTTTATTAATTTTGAATTGGGAAGAAAAAAAAATGAAGTTCTCACTAATCATGATAAAATACGTTTTTACTTTATTAATTTTGAATTGAGAAGGAAAAAAAATGAAGTTTTTGCTAATTATGATAAAATACATGTTTGCTTTATTAATTTTGAGTTAGGAAGAAAAAAAAAAAATTGAAGTTCTTGCTAATTATGATAAAAATATGTGTTTGTTTTATTAATTTTAAGTTGGGAAGAAAAAAAAAAAAAAAGAAGTTCTTGCTAATCACGATAAAATAGTGTTTGCTTTATTAATTTTGAGTTGGGAAGAAAAAAAAAATGAAGTTTTCACTAATCACGATAAAATATGTGTTTGCTTTATTAATTTGAATTGGAAAAAAAAAAAATGAAGTTTTTGCTAATTACAATTTTTTCTTTTTTGACTACCACCTTTAAATTTAAAGATTTATATATATATTAATCAAATAAACTCTATGCATTAGTATGTCCGAGAGGTGTGGCGACTTAGTGTAGTGGTCTAGTCATCACTCTTTTCAAGTGGCAGGTCTAGAGTTTGAAACCCATGGACGACAATATTTGAAAAATAGGCTTGTGTTCGGTTGACAGCTATGCTTATCAGTTGGATCTAATCTGTAACTTTGGTCACACCATCTAGTAATGGGAGCAATAGCACAATAAATCCAAGGAACCAGCATAACCAAAAACCTATTTGGAAAGTTCTGAGTTAGAAAGTAGCAGTAATCTTCGATAGTATCACAAGAAGGCTAAATTCAAACTAGGGCCTGAGATCGGAGAACTGAACGACCAAGTCCTAATGGCAGAGGACACACTAGCCGAATCGCCGAGTTCTGTCGCACCAGAGGAAAAGGATATACACTTCGAAAGTATATACCAAGGGGGGCATTCTTCAGGTACCTAAAGCCTGAGCAGACTGACTCTTCCAGGTTGCCGGCTAGAAGTAAGGGAGAGACCGATAAAGAATTCAGGTAAGAAGACGGTCTGAATGTGGGTACCAGAGTTCGCCGTGAATCTAATAAAGGCAAGAAGTAGATAATAAGTAACTAATTAGGAAGTTAATGATCTGTGAACTGCAATACTGCAGAGGGAGAGACCCAGGATATATAATAATATATATACTAGATCAGTACTAGTACTAGTTAGTTGCAGAGGTTTAATGGTTAGCCCTAACCCCAAGTGCATGAGTCAAGCTATGGCGTAAAGTTACTGAAGTCTGGGTGAATACATGGGTAGGACATGTATCTTGGCAATAGTGAGCTGAGGCCTGAGGTTATACAATATTTTTAAATACACTGCGCCGTATGTGGGGTATTGTGGCCAACATTCAGTGAGGTAACTAAGTTGGGCATTCTGTAGGGAAAGCCGGCTCATAAACAGTTGGGTGCTCTGGAAAGCAGAGCATGACAAAGCCTAGCCAATCTTCAGTATACATTACTAATAAAAAAAAAAAAATTAGCATGTCCGATTATTGTGTTATATTAGCCCCTGCATAGTACCCTAATCAGTATCAACTGATTAGCTAAAGCTAATACTATTTTGTAAAATAATAATTTTTATAGCTTATGTAGTAAATTTTTTTTAAACCTTGCTTATAACAAGCAAATTGGCAAAATAATAATTTTATTGAAAAATTCTTATTAACTTGGTGTTATATATAAAGGTGCTTCTAAGGCAAGTTGGTGAGACTATATATGTCGCACCTCAAACTAATGCTTGTTTTGGATGTCAATTGGCCTAAATTAAGATACAAGCATTAATCTAAGGTACACGTATTTGAATTTTATGATATATATATATTTAGACAAAAAATTCTATAGCTTTAAAATTAATAATATTAAATAATTAAAAAAAAATAATTAAAATAAAATTAAATATAAGGTGACGCAAAAAAATAAATTGGTTTTCATATCCGGCCGGGTCTGAAAATAAAAAAATCTAAAATTTTTTTTTACGCCGCAGCAAGGAGATAGCCAATCAAATCGCGCCATTATTATAATGTGTAAAAATTGGTAAAAATTAGACTTTAACGAAACCATTTTGTATAATTTTATTTATAAAGATACAAAAACTATAAGTAATTTATATATTATATATTATATAAATTTACATTATTTTTCTTTAACGTTTTGGATGCCATTTATAACATTTTTTGGTAAAGCCTTTCCACCACACCCAACACACAATGGCCATTTGCTATTTGACGATTGTGGTAAATTTTTATTGCCACACAGAAAACACACCGCAGAAAATATTCTAGCTGAATAGTAGGGTTTTTCAATCGGCGATGCACAACTCCAAGAATCATTTACAAAAACTTGCTGGAAGAGTTCATAGATAAGATCTCCTGTGAAAATTTCTTTTGATTTAACTTTGGATTTGTTAGACTTTTCATTATTAATATCTACATCATTAATGTCCTCCTCATCTTTATTGTTATCCTCTTCATTCTCTTCATTGTTATCTGCTTTATCCTCTTCATTGTTATTCTCTTCATCCTCACCATTAATATTCTCTTCATTCTCATCATTTACATTTTCGTCATTTATATCCTCTTTGTTACTAATATCTATACTTTCTATATAAGAACAATTAGATCTAGCAATCATATCATCAGCAGAATTATTGCTTGGTAGGTTGTCACTTAATTGGTCGTTATTTTGTCAATCATCACTTGGTTGGTTGTCATTTTGGTCGTCACTCGGGTGATTATTACTTTCATCTTCAATTTCGGCAGTATTGATTGATTTGGTAGATGTAAGATCACAGGTATTATGAAACGACATTCCGTATGTGTATAGAATAGTATCAAGAAAAGATTCTAACAACTTGCGTTCTTTTAATTGTAATTTCTTTGCGCTAAACAACAGACGTGGTTTCTCACATTCAGCACAAACAACTGTTATTTCAACATTTTTTGCACGTATAAAAGAAGGGCTAAATGGCATGGTATGTTTTATATTAGCTTTTGTTTTACCTGACTTGGTGGTTCGTAATTTAGCATCTCTGAGTGAGGGTCTATATTTCTCCGTTGTGTTGGTGCTATATAATTTTTCAAATGATTTATAGTGAAGGTCTTCATCGGGAATTGGATTGGGAATGTAATGAAGTTGATCAAATTCCTCCCGGGAACATTGAAGGGGTAAACAAGTCATACATATATCATTCCTGCACTTCTTAATAGTAAAGGAATAATATCTTGCTCTACAACAGTGTTCTATGAATTCCTTCAACCGTGGCTACAAAAAGGCAAGTATTATTATTTATATTATGTGCTGTGACTAATGATGAAAGTAGTGATCTTTTTGAAAATTTAACCGTACTAAAACCCACATATGAGCGCAGCCAAAAGAAAACCTGACAGCGAGGTTTTGTTTACCAAACTCATTCTATCTAATTTTTTAAAAAATTGTGTCTGGTAACTTATAAATATAAAAGCCTGATGATAGATTTTTCCTTGGCAGCACCCATACTTGTATAATAAAAAAAAAAAAAAAAGAAAAAAAACATTAAAATGATTTCAACTTTCAACATCAGTCAGTTTTAATATCAACCGCCACATTATATGTGATTATGCGTGAATTTAAAATTATTTTATTTACTCTTTTTCTGTTGAGCGATCTTGTTGAGATACATTTTCGTCAATTAGGTGAATTGTTTCCCACAAGTCCATGATCTTATTTTCAGTTGCCACATCAAAAGTTTTAAAAGGTATTTCCTTTAAAGATTGACGCTCAAAAATGCTGCAGATTAGGCGAATTGGTTGTTGGACGCTTTCAATAAAGGCATCTTTCAAAGTAGGATTATTTTCTGCCATATGTCGAATTTCTTTCATTGTATTTGCCTTATTTATTAATTTTTCTAATCTGTTATTCATTTCACCTCTCATTAAACCAATACATTGAAGTCCGAGATTTAAGATAGACATTATGCATTCTACAGGATTTTTCCATGAATATTGAGGTGGTGTTCTTACAGTAGCGAAATAGTCTAGATCTAAAGCTAGGAATAAACAAATATACGACAGTTGCACACTCGTAAACGTACAACAATGGTCTGGGCCACCGTCTGTATAAAGACATAACACAGGTTTATTGATATTTTTTTTAAGTAGAATATTGTTTAATTCAGCTGCATGGCGCATTAGTGAGGAAGGTTGAAAAATAGCATCTTTTAATCCAATATAAACGTCCCCTAGTATAAAAATCACCATTAACCAACTCTGGGATATCACATATTATTGTAACACTTGGTATTACTCCAGTCTTTGTATAATCATGATCACCAACCATAAATGTTGATTCTTTACTAACTACAACTTGCTTACCTCTTTCTATAGCAGCAACTGGATATCCGGGTTCACCAACTTTACATCTATGTTTGTCATCTAGAAATACTAACGTCGTAATTTCACGAAATTTTGTAGCAAATTCTTTTTCATACCTAAACAATGCTGAAGCATAATGTGCATCTGGGTGATAGGCACGAAGCTGTCGAACTTGTACCTAATATTATAAATTGTTAATTTAGTAATTGGTTAATTATTTTTTAGTTGTCAACTAATTGATTAGTTGCAACTAGTTGTCAACTAATCAACTATTTGATTTGGATTAGGTCTATTATAGGTGACACCTTCCATTTGGCACAGAGAATATAATTAATCATTTGGCATGACAAATAAGAATTTACTATATACAGGTAACCCTCGTTAATATCAACCCATTTGGATTAGAAAATTATGTTAATATATATGAAGATTGATAACAAAGAGGTAAAATTTATATGGTTTGAATTCAATTTTTTAAAAGTTTAGATTGATATTAACAAAATTGATACTAATGAGAGTCACCTGTACTATAGGGTAAATACTTATTTGCAAATGGAAGGTATTATCTATAATAAACTTAATTCATTAATTTTTTAACTCTCAATTGTAACACTACTTTTACTATAAATTTTAAGGGTAGATGTCCGGTATATTGCAAACTACTAAGTCTTGTCGGGTTTTTAGGCCATAATTGTAAATGAAGCTATTGTGTACTTGGAATTGGCATATTTGATGGGTATTCATTCTTGATTTGATTTAATAAATTATTAATTGAAATTGCTGTTGCTAGATGGACGATTGTGTCATGTCGATGTTCGTTGACCGCAGTTACAAATTCTGCCGCTTTTTTTGAAAGAAATCCAGCTGCAACTTCCCAAAAAACATCAAATTTAGTTGGTCTCCCAGGATTATGTTTCCGCAAATCAATTGTAACTGCAGGGTCGCCTAACTCAAGAACTAATTTAACTCTCTCATCTATTTTGGCTTCATTTGCAGATTCTGGCGCAGAAGAATCTCCGGTTAACATCCGATAAATAGTACGAAGTGCTGCGAGTTTAACTTTTGGTAAAAGTAAGTCACATGTACGAAAATAATTAGCTCTCATTACACGAGTGTGATAGTGAAGAGATTGGGCCTGAAGTTCATTAACTCGTGTTTCGTTGGATCATCGTTGTTTCATCAGCACATTCATCGATCTTCCAAATTGAAATTGCAATATGTATTATTTCCAGAGTTAAATCGAAATTCACCGAGTTTAAAGGTAAATGCTCAAGATAGTCCCTGTATATAACACATTCTTGAACTACAAAATGATTGAAATTAATTATTTACCATGGCAGCTGAAAGTGGTAGATGTTAAATTTAGTGTCTCTATTTGAAAATATAAACCTTTCTAAGTATATATATGGGGAATAGCCTAGGAAAATCACTGTTTGAAAGTATCAAACTGTGGTTTTCCTATACTTGCTAGCAAAACCTTTCGAGTTTGGAACTTGGAATTTAAAATTTGGGATAATTTTATTAGTTTTGGGTTGGGATTTAGAACAATTTTATAATGTTTATACTTTTTAAAACTTTAGTTTTGGTAGCAAGTATACATATATCCTTTATTAATAGCTCTAGCACTAAACTCTAATCTAACTATATATATATAGAGCTATATTGATTACTAACTATTATTAATTTTAGTTTTACTTACACAGGATCTGTTGGTAGATAGTTTTCAATATCAAGTGGCACCTATAAAGGTAAATTCTTGAGTTCATTTTCCAATTGATAATATTTATTTTTGTTATTTGACATTATATGAATATTGCCATTATGAATTTTAATTGTTATAGCCTGTTTTATACTTCTAACTAGGGTTATTGATACATGGTTTTTTGTTGTAATTTCATTTTGCTGTTTTAAAAAGCTAATATAATTTAAAATAACAGCAATTAAGATATCATAGGGTTCACGAAGCCAATTGAATGATGGCTTTAATAACCATTGTGATGTTGTATGTAATGCGAGAGCCTGACAATGAAGATTTAATTCTGTTGCATTAAAAGGTTTCTGAGATTCCTTATATGACTCTAGGTTAGCATGGCCAAAGAACTTCATAAATAACTCTGGAATATGATAACTACGTTCCTTAAGTTTTAAATAATTATGCATATCAATATACCAAATTGCTTCATATAAACAACTAACGAATTTTTTTCCTTGTGTATTAGCATCCTCAATTGAAGACCACCCCCACCGTTTTGATGAATCCATTCGATTATATCATTATATAACACTTGTTTTTGATTTAATTTTTTATATTTTAAAATGCTTGGTAGATGTTTTTGTTTTTGGGTTTGCATAAGAATTTTTAATGCATTTTGATACGGCGCTGAATAAGAAGATATAATATCGCTATTTTTAAGACGGTAGTATATATTTACACCAAATGCTTTAGTTGATTCTATTATTTCACAATAAGGACTAGATTGAATGGTTGTTGCACCTAACTCTCAGCTTAATTCAATATATTCAATCGTTTCAAAGGGGTTTACAAAAATATTGCATTCTGGAGATACTTCACCCGCAACGAGTTTATCAAAAAACTCTTTAATGGTCATCTCATATGGAATGAGGTGTACATACTAGCCATGAAGCGTTTTTGCCCCTTTTAATATATGTACATTTGCGACTGGCATATTTTTGTTAAGTACAATTTTACAAGTATAATATGAAATTGAATTTTTAAACTGACCTTTTTATTTATATTTTTATTTCTTTACAAGGTACATACATTTTATTTTTTATTATAACAGGCATGGATTTTATTTGATGGTACATAATAATATATAATTAAGTTACTACAAAGAAAAATGCAAAATCTCGATCTGCAAGTAATGTTTCTGATTTCAGATAAGCATTATGAATTTGTTTTTGCTGATTGTATTTTTTTTTCTCTCTTCAAATTTCAGTTATTGCATTTTTGTTGTATTAAAGTTCATTGATTAAGTTCTATAACCGTCAATGATATCAAGGCTAAATGCACAAAGAATGTTTATAACATTGGCAAATCTAATTCCAAAAACAAAAATGATAATTTTTTTATTGCATTTTATCAAGAACATTAAGGCTATAGATTATTCGACATGCATTAATAACACATAAAAATTTTTCATTCTATACTATTTTCATTATAAGAATTTGCAATTTTCTCATTGAAGTTTCATTTGGAAATTTTAAATGGGTGTCACCGTTTTTCTTAGAACTAATAAGCGAATTTAATACAGATTGCAACCATGATTTGGAAAAGAAATAGTTGATCGCCAACTTCATAGACAGATATTTACAATAAAAAAAGATAGGTGTGAGAACGAAAACTTGAAGTTATATTATCAGACGCCAATCATAAAGTATTAAAAGGGATTTATGATAAAAAAAAGGAGACACTAGGACAAAAATTTAAAGTATCTAACGCCAATCCCAAGGTGTGGGAGAGATTTATGATAAAAGAAAAATTAATTATGGAATTTGACATCAATTACAAGGTATAGGAATGTATTCACTATAAAACAAATAGGTGTGTAACAAACCAAAAATTTATTATTATGGTATTCGACGCCAATTCCAAAATACAAGAAGGAATTTATAAAAAAAAAAAAGGCACCAGGACTAAAATTTACAGTTATAGTATATGTATCTAATATGAGAACCTGTCTTTGCTTGTAATCATGCACATTATTTCAATTTGCATTTGTCCCAAATTTAAACGTTTTTAGAGTTTTTAAAGATTCTCATTGTAGATTATTACTAAGTATGAATAATCTTCTTTTTGAGTTTGGCATGATTGTTATTTTAGAGTTAGAGAAAGAAGAGATTATACTAAAATTTTGCAAGGATTTTTTTTTTTATTAGAACATAAAGAGCAGGTTTTTAGACCAGATTTCAATCTTTCAATCTTTTGAAAAAAAAACCGGACAATTTCACATTACACCTAATCTTGCGATCTACATTCAAAATATCACGATGGAAAATAAGGGCGTACATTTCTAGTTAGGTGCCATTGTTAAAGATTTCTTTTTTTGAATTTTGTATCACTTGTTATATTACATCAAATCCTGCATTTTTATGCAGAATGGCACATATCGTTCAATGGTCAATCTTTGTTTAACCGGTCTAGTCCAAGGTTTAAGTAAATTGGCCAAGTTTTATTGATTACTGTATTTTCGCGTAATAATGCCTATCTGTGCATTATTAGAGTATATGCACGTTATTTAGAGTACGCTCATGGGCGTTATTTTGAGATAAAGAGTAATTTTACTAAGCCTAATATTATTTAAAGTTCAAAAAAACAGATTTGTAAGTGGGATGCGTGCAGGGTTGGCAATGGAGTTGAATTTGGTTACGTGAATGGAGCTTAAAAAACTAGTATCCAATGGCTTCATTCAGAGTTCTATTAGCTCTATTTGCAGCTCTATTAAGCTCCATTGCCAACCCTGGATGCGTGTTATTTAGAAATACGCATAGGCGTTATTTTGAAGCCATATAAGTAATTTTTATTAGGGGGTCCAATTTTCTAAATAATGTCCATGCCTGTTATTTTGTAACAATACGATATATATTATATTTTTGCAACAAAACTATTAAACTAATAGGCCAAACTATTTGACCAAGACCCTTCGATCATTGATTTGTTGCCCACGATTTGACCATTTTGAATATATATGATAACATTTAAATCAATGAATTTCGAGACGCTTAGCCATCACAAAAAAGCTTTTTTTTTTTTCTTGTAAACTAATATTTATATATTCACACCATCCCTATGCTTGTAAATGAACTGATGAGGTTTTTTTTTATTCTGTTACCTAATATTGAATTTACAATGAATTCAAAATCTGGTAGCTTAATTATTCGGCAATTACAAAACTTTTCGGATTTTTTATCTGTATCCTTTACTAGTTTTAGGCTTATAAGTTATAGAAAAATTAATATAGTAGTTGAAATTGAGATTGGTGGTGCTGAAATTCTAGAAAATTTTTTTCATTTTTAGGTAGAGATTGGATCGTTAAGAAGTCTTCAACAGATATTATTAAATTATTCAGGTTATTCTGGTAATTTATTATATATTTCGAGTAATTACTTATTTCTGGGTTTTAGAGATATAGTTGTTATAAAAGAGCATATATGAATTAGTAATGCCTGACGCAGTGACGCAAACCTGATATAATTATAAGTTTTGTCAAGTTTCGTCATTGACGAAACTTGACGAAACTTGACGAAACTTATAGTTACGTCGGGTTTGCATCACTGCATCAGGCATTACTAATATAGATTTTAGTAGATTTAAAGATTTAAATAGGAATCTTAAATTTTATCAGAAAAATTTAATATAAACTTTTATTGATTTTAAATAATTTAAATGGACTAATTAGAGACCGAACAGTGTGAAAGAAATTGTCATAGAGATCTGCATTCAGTACCTCCAGATTAAGATCTGGGTATATTTCAATACCATCGCATGAAAATCTTTACTTATAGCCAGGTATAAATTAGATCTGCAAGAATAGTGATGCCCAATAAAAATGAACCTTTACCGAAAAATCAGTTCAACTTACCCCTTGAAACCAATTAAGAATCAACTCCGTAGAGCGCTATATCCAATAAATCAAAAACACCCTGATTAGCTTGATTTGTGTTCGGAAGGCACTGTGAATAGGAAGGCACAAAAAATCAAAAACTAAGAACTATCATATTTTTTATAAATAAGAATTGCCGCCGGATCGATTAATGCTTTAGTAAAAGGCAATTGGGTAAGCATTTAATTGTGCCATTTATCTAGTGCAGCGTACAATTCTGAACTCTCACTATTATCTAGCACCAAGCCCATTTTATACAAGTTCGCCAACAATATTGATCATTTCAAAAGGGCTACTAGAAGCATCTTCGGATTATGTAGTATGACTTTATTAGTAAATTTCAAGTATCTTGGACAAAATTTATTAATATCGGCCTGGTCTTTGAGATCTTCCTATATGTGGTACTCCCAATATAAATCAAGTCATTTAGATATCTTATATATATGCATTGAATACAATTTTATAGTATGATAATGGTCACATTAGAGGTTTTTTTTTTTTAGTGTAACTCACTAGATCTATTTATTTATTGAATATCAATGCTAATTCTAACCTATATCTTCAAAATTAAATACGCATTTCTTTGTGCTTATGGATATTGACATAATTTGTTCTGTATGTTTCCGATAAGAATAATTGTTTAACCAAATATTGATTTATTTATGATATACATTTGTGATCTTTTTTTTCAATAACATGAATGGAGAAAAGTTCATATCGTCGAGTCTCTTTATATTTGGCGTATTTATCTAAATCTAAAAATGAATTTTAGTACAAAAAAGAAATGCCGAGTCACTACACAATTGACTATGATCACAAGACAATTTCATTGGCATAATAGTGTGAACGATGATGATATTAGAAGTGGAAAAACTACAAATAGTTTGATATTATTTTTATTCATTATCGTACATTATTAAAATATAATTCTCATTATAATCTATTTCATAAGACAATGTAGAAGCTAATAAAAATTGCCAACCATTTGCTTATTTTCAAAAAACTGTTGAGGTAAAAAGTTCTAAAAAAGTTTTGTATGTTGGAAATTTTCGTTTTAAAATCAAAAATTATAAGCGCAAGACATCTATGTATTATCAAAAACCCGCAATTACGAGAATTTAGTTTTTGTAGAAAAGATGAAAATAGCTATTTACCTTTTTCATTTTTGGATTTTTCATTTTTGATTTTTTTTTGATTTATTTTTGAGGAGTATTTCGTCATGGAAATGACTACTGTCACGATTTGTTTGTGACAAACAAATAGTTTTTCATTTAATCATTATTATTAAATAAGATTTGAGAATAAAAGTAAAGGCAAATGTTTGCCATTTTTAATTTTAATTGAACTTTATTAGATTGTAATTTATATCATAGTTTGTTTTAAGCTACACTATGATAGTGGGGTGGTATAAGGGATACATTAGGTAATGTGGCGAAGTGAAATTCTATTCAATCACTAACATTAATACTAAGCTATCATTAAACATCACACTTCGTACAGAATCTTCGAAGAGGTATAGTCAAACCTCTATAAATGCATCCTCTCGGGATCATAGTAAAAAAAAAATTGAAATATGCATTTAGAAAGAGTGCATTTATAGAGAGCCAATGTTTAGAACTCTTATGAAATCAATTTAATAAAAAAACTAGTGAAACTGATCAGGTGGTTTTATATTTACATGGCGAATTTTGCATCGGCTCAGCTAAATATGCTAGAGCAATTATATGCAATTTCTTTGACAATTTTTCACGACAATTTCTTATAATAAAAAATTATTAGATCAGCACTTAATTATCGTCTTTTGCCACGGAGCCAATTTCCTGCCGCTCTTGTGATTCCATTGCTACGTATCTATACCTTATAAATCTCAGACCAAATACTAGATTTGAACCAATCAGCCCTAAAAGAGTTATATTTGCTGGTGAGAGTACGAGTGGTAATTTTGGTCTTTACTACTCTCTTAGTTTTAAGAGACACTGGATTACCTTTACTAGCAAGCGCAATTGCATTGGTGAGCATTTATTTCATATTTTGCTAAATCTTCGTTATGTGAAACTATCAAGGAATTTTAACAATAGTATTGTGTTAGGTTTAGCTTATAGTCAATTAAAAGATATACTAACCCTGTTTTTTTTTTTTTTTTTTTTAATATTGAGGTGACCACTTAGGCCCCTAGCACTTTATTAGTTCAAACAGGTGGGCTGTCCGAAGACAGCTTACATATTACATCAGTATAATGAGAGTACAACTAGTCACACGTACAACTTTTGGT